ACAGAGTGGGCCCTAAGGCAGTGGACAGAGTGGACCCTAAGGGAGTGGACTGAGTTTGGTGCTGGTAGGAGCGTGTGTGTGATTGTCAGTCATACACTGCTACCCACAGTCCTCTGCTTCCAGCAAGGAGGCAGTAGCATCTGAGAGTCTCCTGTGCACACGTGGGGGTCTCAGATGGGTCCCATACTTCATTGTATTGTCAGACTGCTCTCAGAATCCCCTTTGCACACATAGGGGGTCTCAGGTGGACCCCACGTTTCCCGTATATTGTCATAATACTCCCAGAATCTCCTGTGCATGTGTGGGGGTCGGGTGTACTCCTGAGCTGGTGAGAAAGTTGAAGGTCTTCTCAAACATGGATTGGCCTACCGCCAGTGTCCCTCTGTGGACGGCCACATGGGCCGTTTTATATTGGGTCATTTTGTTCTGTCTCACCGACTTGTCAGAGTTCTTTATTATGTTCTGGCAAGTAGCCCTAGTATCGCAGTGGTTAAGCACTCCTTGGAAGGAAGCGGTCATTGTCTACTTCTGTAAAGATTTGTAACCTTAGAAACCCGCTGGGCTCTACTCTTCCCTAAAGGCTTCTGGATACAGGAAGGAAACACTGCCCACTCCGATGTAACAATGGCCTCAAATAGAACAATGACTGTGAGGGTTACCACCGCTGGACAGGCCGCTGGGCCCCCAACTCAGAAAGATGGATGGTGGTCCGCCTGCCTTGCTCAGTTGTAACAGTGTGTCAGTTCAACCTCATTGAGGGTCTTTCTCTTCATTGACCCTTTACCAGGCACTGTGTCCCTCCTGATAATATGTTCAAAGTACAGAAGATGAAGTCTTGTCTTCCTGGCTTCTAAGGCGCGTTCGTTCTGGCTGCACTTTCTCCAGGACACATTGGGTCATTCTACTCTCAGTCCACGGGACTTTCTGGACCTTTCACCAATAGCACTTTTCAATGGATGGCCCTCTGAATGTTGTAAACGGAAAATGGTTTTTTCAGCTGGTAACTTGCCTTTTAGGGTCTTTGGTACCAGCGGGTCCGCGGGAGAAAGAGGAGGCTCGTTATGAGTCGGCACTGATTCCGTGGTCCTTAACAACAACAACAAATGGGATATCAAAGTTCAGTGTTAGTACAACGATTGTGATCATTCTGTCTTGCTCTAAAGTCTTATTACAGAGGACCGTCTCTACCTCAAGATTGCAAATAAGGTCTCCTGTATTTCCCTTTAAAACCCTTGGAGATATTGTTGTTATGTGCCGTGGAGTCGGGTCCGACTCATAGTGACTGTAACTCTTTACAGGAGCAGCAGAAAGCCTCATCTTTCTCCCATGGAACAGCCGAGGCCACTTTTTCTATGTAGCTTCTGGTAGACTTTGGGTGAAGAAGGACCTGCCCTCATAGAGTGAAACACTGCCTAGTCTTGAGCTGTCCTCACAATTGTTGATAGGTTTGAGCCCACTATTGCTATACCTGCTCCAATCTATCTCGTTGGTGGTCTTCCTCTTTTTCTCTGACCCTCCACTTTACCTAACATGATGTCCTTCTCCAGGGACTGGTCCCTCCTGTTAATATGTCCAAAGTGTGAGAGACAAAATCCAACTATCCTGGCTTCCAGGGTACATTCTGGCTGCATTTCTTCCAGCACAGATCTGTTGGTTCTTTGACAGTCAACGGTACTTTCAGTATTCTCCTCCAATCCCATCTGGAGCACAGTGGCTCCATACAATAAGCACTGGACTACAAACCACAAAGTCCGGGGCTCTGTGGAAGAAAAGTGAGGCGTGGTGCTGTGGGATTAAAGCACTGGACCACATGGTCGGTTTGAACCACAAGGTCAGCAGTTCAAACTCACCAGCCACTCCTTGGAAACCCTATACAGAGTTGCTATGAGTCAGAACGGACTCAACAGCACTTCACAACAAGACCACCATAACTCAAATGCATCAACTCTTCATGGTCTGCTTTATTCAGGGTCCAACTTTCACATGCATATGAGGTGATTGAAAATCCCATGGCTTGACTCTGCTTCCTTAAGTGTTGAATATGAATTCAAGCAAAATGAAGCCTTTGACAATTTCAGTCTTTTTTCTGTGTGTTGTGATGCTATTTATTGATCCCGTTTGAGGATTTTTGTCCTTTACATTGAGATGAAATCCAAACTGAAGGTTGTCGTCTTTGACCTTCATCAGTAAGTATTTCAAGTCCTCTGCTTCCAGCCAACAAGGTTGTGTCATCGGCATATCCCAGGTTGTTAATCTTCCTCCAGGCCCGATACCATACTCTTCATGTAACCCAGCTTCTCATATTATATCCTCACCATACAAATGGAAGAAAGTCTGACGAAAGGATAAAACCCTCACGCACACCTTTCTTGATTTTAAACTATGTAGTTTGAATAACTGCTTGTTCTATGTACATGTTCCTCTTGCCAGGTTCTCTATAGCTTGTCATGATCCACACAGTCAAATGCCTTTGCATAGTCAATAAAGCACAAGTGAACATCTTTTCGGTCGTCTCTACTTTTAACCAAGATCCATCTGACTTAAGTACTGTTATCCCTCGGTCCACATCCTCCTCTGAATCCAGCTTGGATTTCTAGCAGCTCCCTGTCCGTGTTCTGCTGCAACCTTTTGAACCATCTTCAAAATGTTACTGAAGATGGCCAGGTAGCTGTCTCCAAGTTTCTTGACACAGAAAAGTAAGCACCTCCAGGTTGGTAGCAGTTGGTTGAAACTGTATTCTGTCAATTCCTGGAGCCTGGCTTTTCTCCAATGCCTTCAGGTAAGCTTGGACGTCTTCCTTCAGTATCACTGGTTCTTCGTCCTATGTTCCTTCTTGAAAGCGCTGGACAGCTACCATTGCTCTTTGGTACGGTGACTCAGTGTATTCTTTCCATTTGCTTTTGATGCTTTCGTCATTCAGTATTTTCTCCATAGAATCCTTCAGTGTTGCAAATTTAGGCTTGAATTTTTTTCTTCAGTTCTTTCGGCTTGAAAAATGCTGACCGTGTTCTTCCCTTTTTGATTTCTAACTCTAGGTCTTTGCACATATCGATATAATACTTTGTCTTCTTGAACTACCTTTGAAATTTTCTGTTCAGCTATTTTACTTTCTCATTTCTTCCAGTTGCATTAGCATCTCTAAATTCAGAGTCTATTCTGACATCCATTTGTGTCTTTTTGCTCTTACCTGTCCTTTTAATGAACTTTTGTTTTCTTCGTGTATGGTATTCTTGATGTCATCTCACAATTCTTCTGATCTTCAGTCATTGGTGTCTAATACATCAAATCTGTTCACGCGATGGTCTCTAAATTCAGGTGAGATATACTGAGGGTCATATTTTGGCTTTCATGGCTTGATTGAATTTACTTCGGCTTTATCCTAAACTTGCATGAGTGATTGAGTGACTGAAGAGATGGATATGGGGGACAGAAGTGGGTGACTAAAGGTACTTGGGGTAACAGTGGTAGATAATTACAGAGGGATTTGGGGGACAGTGGTGGGTGACTGGAGAAGGATTTGGGGAAACAGTGGTGGATGACTAAGGGAGATTTGGGGAAACGGTGGTTGATTAGAGGGAGATTTGGGGGAACAATGGTGGGTGACTAGAAATGAGTTGGGGGTACAGTGGTGGGTGCTGAGGGAGATTTGGGGGAATAGTGGTGTGTGACTGTGGAGGAGATTTGGGAGAAGAGTGGTGGGTGACTAGAAGGGAGTTGGGGGAACAGTAGTGGGTGACTGAGGGAGATTTGGGGGAACAATGGTGGATGACTAGAAATGCGTTGGGGGTACAGTGGTGGGTGACTGAGGGAGATTTGGGGGAACAGTGGTGGGTGACGTGACTAGAAGGGAGTTGTGAACAGTAGTGGGTGACTATGGAGGAGACTCGGGGGAACACTGATTGGTGAGTCAGTGGTGTAGGATCCTGGGCTCCTCTGTGGGGTGGGCCTGTTGCCAGCCACAGGCAGCTGGTGGGCGGCTATGTGTGGGCGTGCGGAGCAGCAGGAGAACAGTCTGCATCTCGGTGAACATCCGTGATGCTCCCAATGGCATGCCTTGACCTTCAGCGCCAGGCTTTAAGATCATGGTCCCCATAATAGCAGGTTTTACAGATTGGGTCTATATTCATAGCATCTTTTTCATTATGAGAATGAATCTTGATATGAAGCACATGATCATGATACAGGACTCTGGACCTTGTTCAGTGGACAGAGAAGTGAGGGGCACGGGATGGAAGCCTCAGTTGATGGAGGGTCTATGTGCAAGTAAATGGAAGCCGGGAAGTCTTGGTTCTTATTGAATCCAAAATTACGAGAAAAGAGCTGGAAGGTCAAGCCAAGCTCAGAGCCCAGTACATGTGGGTGTTCCATTCTCCCTGGTGTTGGCGGGTCGATTCCCATCTGTCTGTCTGCTCTCAGACTACATACCTGTCTTGGGAGCCTTCTTCTGATCATCCTACTGATGTCTTCCACTCATATCCTAAGGTAGGACGGTCTTGCCTAGAACTTGGCCTGCAGAAGACAGTCAGCCAGCAGCAGCAAATCAAGTGCTCCCTGAAAGCTGCATTTCAAGTGTTTGCTCCCAAGAAAACACCATCTGCTTATTTCAGACCCAGGATCTTCCCTCTGAGCGCCCAGTGCTTTATGCCTTCATGATGGGACTTAGAACAACCTGACGGTTCCTGTCCCGTCTCCTATTCCAACCTGTAGGTTATCCCTGTGTGCTAACTGAGGTCTGCAGTCTTGGAAATCATACAGAGTGGTTCCACCGTGTGCTCTGGGGTGCTATGAGTTGGAATTCCCCCCGTGGCAGTGGGTTTGGGGGTTTGCCGACATTATCTAGTGTAAAATACTTGTTCACTTACATTTATAATCACAATTCCAACATGACCTTTAATTTCAGGATAAAGCTAAAGACGATTGCTAACCCTGAACAAGTTTGTATAGGAAACGTTGTCTGGGCTTGGATCGTTCTGAATGCTGTTGTGGCTTTGATTTCACAGCTTGCGAGTAAACTTGGACATGGGTAAAGCAGCCTATGGGTGGATGATCATGAGAGATGAGAACATACCAGGGACAGTTGTCCGTACCAGCACCATCCCTGAGGAGCTGGGGCGCCTGGTGTACCTGCTGACAGACAAAACAGGTACTGCCCTTGGTCTGTGTGGTCTTCTCATGTTCTGTGTGCATATACACGTGTGTGCTTGTAATACATGTATACCAAAAGAGCATGTGGAATTTAGGGTTTCAGACTTGTGGAACAGCTGCACAGCTTCGTCTTCTAATATGCACGGACTCATCAGAATTAGCAAAATGTTAGATTCTTAGAGGTTTAAGTTACATAGTTTTGTTACTTAAAATGTTCTACTGTTGCATAGTTGCTTTTTTGACTGCCTCTGTGGGGGGCTTGATAAAGTTTATAGAAGCATCTCATTAACTTTCAATTCTATTTTTCCATGAACTTGTTGAAGTCCAATTGTATAAACACCTCTCTAGCAATCCAGGCTTTCTGCTCCCATAAAGATTTACAGCCTCAGAAACCGTGTACAAGGTCGCTGTGAGTCGGAATGGACTCCACGGCACATAACACCACCACCAATAGGAGTCCTGATGTGGTGCGGTAGAATAAGCACTTGATTGCAAGGTTGATTTGAACTGTAGTGTTGGTGGTTCAGACTTACCAGCCGCTCCTCAGAAACCCTGGAACCATGGAACCGACTCCATGGCACATAGCCACAAACAACAACAGAAAGCCTGTACAGGGTCGCTATGAGGCAAAACTGAGTCAATAGCACTTAACAACAACAAAAAAGTAGCATTCTAAGAGCAAAAATTACATGCTTGTGTATTACAGAATGATACTTTTATACTAATCAAAGAAAATAATTAGATTTGTGAATTTGGTGTTTTCACAGTAACTATCTCCTAAAAAGATTTACTAAGGAACTGTATTCCATGCTAAGGTTCCATACCCAAATACTTTCCATTTTTGTTTTGTTGTTTTTCATAAACAAATTCTTGTCAATTTGTAACATACTAAATAAAAGATCCACCACTCATCTGTCAGTTTGTCATATTGTGATGACTTAGGTGTTGTTCAATTCTGGAAGCTATGCCACTGGCATTTTAAATACCAACAGGTGCACCCACAGTGGACAGGTTGCAGATGAGCTTCCAGGAGAAAACAGACTAGGAAGAAGAGATGGACTACTTTTGAATATTCAGTGACTGGAAACCTTATAAATAGCAGTGAAACACTGTGATATAGCAGCAGAATATCAAATATTGAAACATGATGAAGAGCTCCAGAATATTGTTAGATATAGTACCACAAGATGAGCCACTCAGGTTGGAAGGCACTCAAAAGATGACTAGGAAAGAGCTGCCTCCTCAAAGTAGAGGTGACCGCGCTGATGTGTATGGAATGTGATGGAACCTTCCTTTGTTGAGGAATAACTCAGAAATGAGAAACAGCTGTAAATATCTATTAATACTCAGTACATGGAACGTACAAAATATGAATCTAGGAAAAGTGCAAGTTGTCAAAAATGAAAGGGAAAGCATAAATTTCAATATCCTAGGCGTTAGTCAGCTGAAATAGACTAGTATTGGCCATTTTTAATGGGGCAATCACATGGTTTACTACGCCATGAATGACAAATTGAAGAGGAATGGTGTCACATTCATCATCAAAAAGTATCCTTCAAGATCTGTCTTTGAAGTACAACACTGTCTGTGATAGGAAAACATCCATATGCTTACAAGGAAGACCAGTTAATACAATTATTATTCAAATTCATGCACCAACCACTAAAGCCAGTGATAATGAAATTGAAAAATTCTATCAACTTCTTCAATGTGAAATTGATCAAACATGCAATCAAGATATGTTGATAAATACTGGTGACTGGAATGCAAAGGTTGGAAATAGAGGAAGGATGTTGTTGTTGTTGTTACATTATGTGGAGTTGGTTCTGACTCACAGTGACCCTGTACAGGGTTTCCGAGGCTGTAAATCTTTATGGGAGTAGAAAGCCTCATCTTTCTCTCATGGAACAAGCTGGTAGTTTCGAACTGCTGACCTTGCAGTTCACAGCCCAATTTGTAACCGCTATGCTACGAGAACTCCTTAGAGGAAGGATAGTGGTTGGAAAATATGGCCTTGGTGATTGAAACAATGCTGGAGATCCCATGATACAATTTTGCAAGATCAATGACTTCTTCATGGCAAATACCTTTTTTAAACAACATGGACCTCTCCACATGGAATACACAGAAATCAAATTGACTACATCTGTGGAAAGAAATGGTGGCAAAACTCCATATCATAAACCAAAACAAGGTCAGGAGCTGACCATGAAACAGACCATGAATTGCTCATACACAGGTTCAGGCTGAAACTGAAGGAAATTAAAACAAGCCTGTAAGAGCCAACACATGACCTTGAACATTGATGCTGTTGTTAAGTTCCATTGAGTCAGTTCCAGCTTATAGCAACTCTGTACAGCATTTCCCAGGATTACCTGGTGAATTTGAACCACCGACCTTGCAATTCAAACTGACCTGATGTAGGTCAAGTGCTTATTCAGTGGCACCACACCTGAATTTAGAGATCATCTGAAGAACAGAGGTGATGCAGTAGATACTAATAATTGAAGACCAGAAGACTTGTGGGATAAAGCCAAGGACATCATGCAGGAAGAAAGCAGAAAGTCATTAAGAAGACAAGAAAGAAGGGAAAGACCAAAATGGATGTCAGAAGAGACTCTGAAACTTGCTCTCCAGCATAGAGATGATAATGAAAATGGGGAAAATGAAGAGGTAAAAGAGCTGAGCAGAAAATTTCAAGGGGAAGTTTGAGAAGTGAAAGTCAAATATTATTAAAAAAATGTGCAAAGACTGGAGTTAGAAACCAAAAGAGAAGGACACAAGTAGCATTGCTCAGACAGAAAGAGCTGAAGAAAAGAATTCAAGCCTCGACTTGAAATATTGAAGGATTCTATGGGCAAACTATTGAATGATGCAGAAAGCATTAAAAGAATATGGAAAGAGTCACTGCACCAAAAAGAAATGGTTAATGTTCAGCCATTTCAAGAGGTCACATATGATCAAGAATCAGTGATACTGAAGGAAGAAGTCTAAGGTGTATTCATGACATTGGACAAAAAACAAGGCTCCAGGAATTGCTGGAATACAAATTGGAATCTTTCAACAAACTGATATAGCACTGAAGGCACTCACTCATCTAGGCCAAGAAATCTGGAAGACAGCTACCGGACCATATGGCTGAAAGAGATCTGTATTTGTGCCCATTCTAAAGAGAAGGTAACCCAACAGAATTTGGAAATCATCGAACGCTGTCAGTAATTCAACATGCAATGAAAATTTTGCTAAAGATAGTTCAAAAACAGCTACAGCCATATATTGACAGAGTACTACTAGAGGTTCAAGCCAGATTCAGAAGAGGACATAGAACCGGAGATATCATTGTTGATGTCAGATGGATCTTGACTCTACAGTAGAAAATACCAGAATGATATTTACCTGTGCTTTATTGACCACACAAAGACTTTCTGTTGTGTGTATCATGACAAGCTATGGACAACATTGTGGAGAATGAGTATTCTGGAACACTAATTGTGCTCATGAAGAACCTGTACATACACCAAGAGACAGTTCAAACAGAAGGGAACAACAAGTGGTTTAAAGTTAGGAAAGGTGTGCACCAGGATTGTATTCTTTCACCATACTTATTCAATCTGTATGCTGAGCAAATAAGTCAAGAAGCTGGATTTTATGAAGAAGAGTGTGGTATCAGGATTGGAGGAAAATGCATTAATAACCTGCCGTATGCATATAGTACAACTGTGCTTACTGAATGAAAAATGGACTTCAAATACTTACTGATGAAGATTAAAGACCACAGCCTTCAGCATGGGTTGTACTTCAATGGGAAGGAAACAAAATCCTCATAACTGGACCAGTAAGTAACATCAGGTAAATGAAGAATAGATTGAAGTTATCAAAGACTTCATTTTGCTCAGATCAACCACCAACACTAATGCAAGCAGCAGTCAGGAAATCAAAGACGTATTGTATTGTATTATATTGTATTGTATTGTATTGTATTGTATTGTATTATATTAGGCAAATGTGCTGTGCAAGAACCCTTTAAAGTGTTTAAGAGCAGAGATAACAGTTTGAGGACTAAGGTTCACCTGACGTAAGCCATGGTATGTTTAATAAGAAATAAAATATTATGCAGTTAATAAAGATGACTGTAGAAGAATTGATGCCTTTGAGTTACGGTTGGACAAGAATATTTAAAAGTACCTTAGACTGCCAAAAGAACTAAGAAATCTGTATTGGAAGAAGTACAACCAGAATGTTCCATGGAAGCCAGGATGGCCACACTTCTCTCATTATTCGGACATATTGTCAGCAGGGGCCAGTCACTGGAGAAGGAAATCATGCTTAGTAAATGGAAGGTCAGAATAAAAGAGGAAGACCCCTAACAAGATGGTTTGGCACAGCAACATCAACAGTGGGCTCAAGCGTAGCAACTCTGGTGAGGTTGGCTCAGGACCGGGCAATGTTTTGTTCTGTTGTGCATAAATTCACTATGAGTCAGTACTGACTCAGTGGCACATAACAACAACAACAACAACAACAACAAATAAAAGATACACAAATCAAATCCAGGCTATAACAATGAACAGTCTAAAAGTTCAAATCACTCCTTGACTTACTTGTTCATTTTTTAACTTTTAGTAATTCTTACTGAATGAGAAATGAAAAAGAATACTTATTTACAAGGCAAAGATAGTATTTTTGAAACAAAACTCAGCCTCATTTTTAATAAGACAGTATTAGCAAGCTCCTCAGTGCAGTCATAAATAAGGAAGACAAGTCTACTATTAAATAAGGAAGACAAGTCTACTGTGAAACATTATTTTGCAATCAAATAGGAAGTGGGAAGGAAAAAGATATATGACTGGAGAAAAATAAAACTAAAGAAATGAGGTGATACTCTAAAAATTAAAAGATCAGGTAAGTGTCCGGTCATAGAGTAAGGTAACGGAACGCCTCCCGTTCCCACAAGGGGAGAATAGGCTCCTGCCCAGCTTACTCAGCTACCAAGCTGAG